TAAAAAACAATATATATATATATGTATATATAGCTCATATATACATGAATATATATATATATATATATGCGCGTGCACATTTTCACACACACCAACCAATGCATTGATTTGTGCTCGTGCAGATTCCTGATAGGGGCGACCCAGTTTTAAAGGAGATCAAAATCCAACGCGATAATGGCAGTGAGAAACAAGTTGATCTGGAGATGGCCGCGCAAAATGCCGCAGACAGTTCTGGGCCGCGGGTGGTGAAAGAAGCCGAATTCCGGGATTTATAGCCGGATGCTAATTTACGACGTTTTTACGACATCCATTGTCGAATATCACCTTCTTGAATTGTATCGGTGTAGCATTTACGAGTTTCATTTACAGACGCAGTGAATGCGAATGCAACTGTGCGTGTAGTTTTTCAGAGCCTCGTGGCTCCATTCGATTCCATAAATCCTAAAATCGGCTGCCGTACTGTCTATAGTCTTCGAATTATGGAGCGTAGGTAAAGCGCAGATGAACACATGGACATTTATGTAAATGTGCTATCGCAAAATACCAGGACCTTCTCATACTTGAATACATAGTAACAAATAATTGTACTTACTAAATTTTGTCAATTTGGCCTCCATGTGTGTTGGTAAATTTCAATTTGCCTCGATTAGCATGAAATGTATTTTATGATGTATCTATATTTGTACATTTTAATTTACCTCGAATAGGATAAACTATTTTTATGATGTTGTACATGTCAATACACCAAGTACCAGCAGCCCCATAAAGACGTAAGCGCAAGATTCGTAAAAGCCTATTGTTGGCATCATCAAAATCCACTCACCTATACACCGTACGAACTAACAGCGAAATACGTTTTCAAATTATGCACAAATAGGATATATCTGTTTCATCGTAGTTTACTAATGCCAATTATGGCTCTCATATGCTGGCTGTCAGCTTCGAGCGCTTGTGAACCTTAATCCACAGAACACGTACAGTACGATACAATTTAAGCACCACTATCCTGGGCGACCTTAGATAAATGTGATCTGCGATATACTTCGTTCGAATTTTATTGTTGCTGCCTACTGTAGTGCATGTACTATATATGTGTCGTGTCTAAGCGCTTGTAAATCTCAGCACCTCAAACACAAACATCCCCGCAAGTAAACATACAAAAGGGTTTGCTGAATTGTTATTCTCGGCATCGTTGGGCTGGTCAGGTGTCGGTGGCAGCGTTCCTTTTGGGATATCGGTGGGTTGATCTTCTGCTGTGGCTGCTGGCTTCGTTTCGCTGTGAAGGAGACGGTCTGGCTTTAAGCTTGAGGGTGTCGTATGATGTTCTTCTACGCACACAAGAGGATATTACTACCATTGCAGCAGCAATATACACATCAACCGAGATTTTCATTGCAGCGTTATTAATACGCACATGTGCCACATACCACAATACTGCGCAATAAGACCTATCTGGCAAATTCACAAAATCATGACTGAATAGTACATTAAGGAAGCGAAGTGAATAGACTATAGTAGCAGACCCTCACTACGGGTGTGTCCCCAACATATGCTAAACTCACCTTATCGGCACCGTGGAAGCTATTTGTGAGGTGGCCGTAGCGGCAATTGAACTAGTAGTACTACTCACAGTCTCAGTGACCTTGAAGTAAAACCCAAATCCCAGCAGAGGAATAGTGACCTCACCGCAAGTGTTGAGTGTGGCGTTAGAAGTGATGAGCGCTAGTGTGCAGAATGGATCGCCGTAGATCTCCAGTTGATAGTCTGTAGGGGTCTTGATGAGCTTGTTGTACGTGTCTATGCCCGGAATAGTCCCTGCAAGGTCGTGGTATAGAATTGAATTTGAGTATTGTCTGATACGGGGTAAAATCATTACTATCGCATTGTTTGATCATATTTCTCCTGTTTCTGCGATAGGTTACGCCGCTTTGAGGGTGCCTGATGTACGATGAAATTGCCCTCCATCGGCGAGCATTGATCTAGCTACTCTGGTGGCTTTATATATAAGACCCCAAAATGTTTATGTTTTAGCTTGAGAGCTCAATCTGATAGAAGTGATTGGACAAAGATACTCATAAGCGATAGCACCGGGTGACACTTTAATACGGCAGCCCATAGCCTAAAGGGTCACACATTTGATTTCCAAACACCAGAAATAGCTACAATCTACAAACGTCAATCCGAACTTCATCTAATGAATAAAACCTGTTTCTATTGGCACTGTGATATGCCGTTCGCCAATGAAGTACATAAGTCTAGCTCTCTACGAAATCTTTTGCTACCTGCAACGCACAGATCAGCACTCGCGTCGAGCACCTGGCAAGTGACTGCTGCTGAGCAAGTCTCTTCCGCTGTAATGAAATATACAAATGATATTGAGATACAGATATCAAAACTTGTGTTGTAGTATATTACGTGTTGCGAGAATACTGTTTCATGTACCACCACGATAAAGCTATACAAAATTCGCTGCGCTCTTTTGCTTTTCATTGTGATGACAATAAATCGCACAACTATGGAATCATCATAGGTAAGCGCGCGTCTGTGGTGGCAACCTACTACAAAATAAATGCGTTACGACCGGGATGCAGGAAGGGAATTTCAGAATGATACAATTAATGGAACAAACTCCCTAGCACTCAAAACATGACAAAACATACCAGAATAACACACTCGTTCAGCGTTGACACCAGTCATGAGTACTAGACAAGCATATGCCCATATTAGTTTTACTTTTCTAATGTAGCTGAAAATCATTATCGCAACGCAAAGTTCAATTCTCACGTTTTGGGGTTGTAGTTGCTGTATGTCAACAGTATGAACAACAATCGATATATATACTACAATTAAAAATCGCACTTGTTGCCAAAGGGATGATTCCAATGGGATGATTCTTTGGTACTTGACATTGACGTGAGCAAATGATGGCTCAGAATGAAACATAAATGATGGCTCAGAATGAGACATTCGAAGCTCACTACCCCAACGTGTATTGATTGAAAGGATTGCACCAGTATCCGATGCCGACAGCGACTGCAACAAAACATCAAAGTAGATGAGTGATGACAGATGAATTATTGCCCAACAAATAGTTTGTCCGGCAAAATAGTAAAATCACTTGCTGGCATCTTGCTTTTCATCATATATACTCATCGGCATCATCGTAGCCATCATTTGACTCTACAGCTCTAACTGTTGAGCGTTTGCATTACAATACTCAGTGACAACAGCACCAGGACACCAGATGGTACAACAAATACTTGTCACGCTGATTTGGTCGTCAGGTGACAGTCATGAGCACAGCATACCGAAAGATTAATTTCGTACTCAATCTGAGGGAATGATTTATAAACTCCAACTTGACCGTTGGCATCTAGTTGATACTGCCGCACTGCCGGGTCGCAACATGGTGTCTGCGATCCATAAGCATATCTTTGGTCAGATGAGAAAAAACATTCGACGGAAAAGGTTAAGCCTATGATGTATCAATGAGTTCACTAGCATAGATCGTCCTCAAGCAATTCCAAATTCACTATCGATCCCTCGATGTACAGAAGAAAGACTATATACAACGAAGAATATGTATCTAAATATTGATCGAGCATGTTGGTTTAGAGATGTACAAGAGTAGCTACCAAAGCCCGTTCAACTTTCAGTCCAAATAGCTGTCAATATTTATTTAGTAGTGAGGCGGCTCGCCGAGTACATCACTTTTTCATTCGTCTGCCGACTCAAGTTCACAGGCAAATAGTTCATGGTAAGTTGAAGTACCTTGAGGACGAGTTCTGAATTTAATCGAACGCTTACGATGTTCCAAATTTTGTACTTTGCGTCGCTATGCAGAAAGCTTTTTTTTTGAGACCTCTTTGGGTCACAAAAGTCGTATTTACCAATTGAACTTTCATCCTTCACTGTGATGCTTCTATGTTTCCCTATGAAAGGTATCCGATTAACATCGACGATGAAGTATTTCAAGTTTATTCTACTAGCTAGCGCTTGGTGCTTGGCTGCTGCTGAAAACGTTTGTTGGTCGCCTTTATCGGATTGCGCCACCAATGTTACCTGTACCGCACTCAATACAGATGGATTGGTTTGCGCTGAAGGTACTTGTCCACGATTTTTACCTTAGAGAGAAATAGTAGCCAATGGCCCCTTCCATAACTTTCCCTTGTTTAAGCTTCAACTATACTTTGTGAAGAATTCATACATATTGTAACAAAACTACCATACTTTACTACTTTATATAGGCCCATTGGGGACTTCTGTGAGACTTCGCAACGGCACGGCATCGGGCTATGTACTTGAATCATATGCAGGTGATAATTGTGTTTTTCAGATCATGAATGTCCAGCTGGACGCCAACACGTGTACTGGATATACAATGCCATTCATTGGGACCACCTATGCTATTGTCGGTGAAGTTACGGGGCAGAATACACTTGGGCAAGAGGGACAACCAAGTGTCACACAGATGACAACAGTCGGCGTGACGCAGGATGACGGTCTGGTGGTGCAGGTGATTACTTCCACAGTGTTCGCTGTGCCGACTGAGGTTCAATCTACTGTTGGCGACGATGCAGCCTCCTCGGCGTCTGTATTGCCTACTGGCAATGTATCACATTTGATATGCTACTTTATTGCTCTAGTTAGTGTTATCATCGAAATCTGAATGGGAACACTGCCTTCCACATTAACAATTTGAGCAGAGGGATCTGAGATTGCCCATGTGGTCCTAAAGTGATGAATAAATGCAACAATCTGCTAAATCCACCGGCATATTTTGCATATCCTGACCTTGATAATATTATGTATGTAAATAAACAATACAAGTTTCCGTCAAAAGATGGATTTGACTGTTCCATGTTCCTGTCAACTGTATTCCGTGACTCGTCACGTCTCACACGGCAGCCGGCAAGGTCACCCTGGAATTTTGGAAATCTCTCTTTTTTGGTCAACATTTATACGTAGGTAACGACGAAATAGCCTTCTTTTTTAATAATGTTTTATTTAAAAAAACCAAATTGACAACGTGGAAGGCTGTATTTTTGTTTTTAAAAATAAATATCTAATGTGAAGTCGTGTAAAAAAAATATTTACTTACAATAAATATTTAAATATGTGTGAAGAGTGACAACTATTTGAATAATTGTTTTTAAAAAACAACCAAAAAAGACTGAAGAGCCCGACCTGTGGCGACCTCCGAGTTCAGAACTTCAGATGAGATCTGGATGCACGAGATGTCTTTATTTTATTTTTAAACACTTGTTTTTTGGGGGGTTTTTAGTTCTATTTTTATATAAAAAAACAAACATTTAGGCCGGGTTTGCCCACTTTTCTTAATAAAAAGAACAAACATTTACATATATTTTATCGTCGAAAATACATGTCAGTGGCCGATGCTTAGAAACGACGCGTATGCAATCGTACATTCTCTCCCTACAAACATATTTATGTCGAATAGTACCCTTTTCTATATAAAAACATCTCGAGTTAGGTGTCGGATAGTTCGGTGCTGGGGACCTGTAAGAGAATATAACACCATATACCATACATGCTGACTTGGAAGCAGGCGAAAGCTTCAGTAGTGCAAAACGAAATATAGCAACGATCACACACTACTGAACACTGTAGCACTTTTCAAGAAATGATTAATAATCATATAGATATGCGCTGATATGTCTACGAAGGCTTTACAAGTGTACACAACTCTTGTGGAATCGAATTACACCCTTGTCACTCGACCCAGTAACTTCAGACTGGCATCAAGTTTATATATCTAACTTTTTAAAGCATAATACAGGGGCTATCAGCTCAGGATAATGAAGGCTTTGAAAGTATACACAACCTTTGTGGAATTAAATTACATCTATACCTAGACTCAGTAAGACTGGCATCATGTTTATATATCGTACTTTTAAGCACAATACAGGGGTTATCAGCCTAGGATATATACCTAATTGATATGATGTGCGAGGTGGCCCATATGCAGGCCCCTTTCACCAATGTCACCTACAATCAACCCAAATAGCCTATTTCGAGCACACCACAGGTGTCTGACTGCCCGATAATGAATCTTTTTGTTTTATACCTTATTTGTTTCAAGCTCGAGATATTTTCCTGTTAAGATAAATAAAATGTAGTATTTCGGTAAAGAAAGGACGGATCATTATTGTTGGATTATGCATTCGACACATTGTAGGCTATGGGTATACATGTAACATACTACTGTGCACCTCAATTGTGCACTTTGATTTTGCCACTGTCTTCTCGTACAACCTTTAAATATTCATGACAATATTCATGACTATGAACCAAGAGGCCTTAAGCAGAATACATTTTTTTGTACACCTGTCAAAATTGATATGTGTGCGCGTGAAAAACGAGGAGCGTCGAAATTCGATTTTTTTTAATCGAACGAAGTTTGTCTCAAACCTCGACAACATCCCACAACACATAAAATCGGCGGGTATAACAACACACACCGCCTTGTTGCAATCTGCGTTGAAGCGCCACAATGCTTGACGGTAGTGAGAATACGACAACTGCCGCTTCCGAACAGCATCCGGTCGAGAAGAAGATACCACCAGCCGAAGCACTTACCGGCACTGCTCAGACTGTAGATGTCAATCAGGTAATATACGACGATGGCAATGTGCGACTGGACAATGATGACGATGAAGTTATTCCTGACGACACATGGGGTAATAGATGGGAATTCATCTTGGCTAATGTGGGTGCGGCGATTGGTTTAGGTAACTTCTGGCGATTCCCTTTCCTGGCATTTGCGTACGGTGGAGGTGCGTTCTTTATCCCATACATTATAGCCCTATTCACAACTGGAATCCCTCTGGCTCTGCTTGAGATGGCACTGGCTCAATACTGCCAGCAAGCCATGTGTAGGTCTTTTGGTAGTCTAAACAGGCGATTCGTAGGCTTAGGTATATCGGCGCTGTGGATATGCTTTGTCATCGTAATGTAAAACTCGGTAGTGATGGGGTGGAGCAATGTGTATCTCGTACAATCATTCTACACACCCATGCTCTGGTCTGCTGGCAACTTGCCATCGGCGGAGATGATCAGTGTTCCTGCCAATTATTTCTATAACGACGTTTTGCACTTGACGGATAATGGGTCAATTTGTCTGGTTTATTTTTCTCGGGACCTTTGTTGTGTGGATCGCTGTGTTCCTGGTACTCTTCAAGGGCGTGGCTGTAGTGGGCAAAGCAGTGTACTTCACCGTGCTTCTACCGGTTGTCACTCTCTTGGTGCTGATTATATACGGAGCGACACTGGAAGGCGCGGGCGACGGTGTGGTGAAGTACATTGGCACATGGGACATGAGTGCACTCGAGGACGGGCAGATTTGGGTGGATGCCTTCGGACAGATATTCTTCAGTCTTGGAGTTAGTACCGGTATTATGTCCGCTTTTGCGAGTCACAATGGCAGGCAGCAAAATATCGTACAGGATGGGATACTTGTGGCACTGTTAAATTCATGTTATTCATTTGCCGCGGGTTTTACTGTGTTCCTGGTGGCTGATCACTTCAGGCATGAAACAGGCATGTCGTCGGAAGAGCTACAAGACGTTTTGGGAGGTCCTTCACTGATATTCATCCTTTATCCTAGTGCACTGTCCCTCACATCTGGGTGGTGGGGCAATGTCATGTGTATTCTGTTCTTCTTCACAGTCTTCATGCTAGGTATAGATAGCGCCTTTGCTTTGACCGAGTCAATAGTCGTCAACTTGCGCGAAGTACGTTTCTTTGACTGCTTTGGATTTGTCCCCGTTCTTGCTATGGTATGCACGTTGTGCGTTCTGTTGAGTATATTATATTGCTTCGGGTGGGGTCTCTATCTATTGGAAGTAGTAGATGCGTATACAAACATAGGTCTGCTCACTGTTGGATTCGGTGAAGCCTTCGTCGTGGATTGGGTGTACAAGCGGAACCTCGCGGCTGAGATAGTCGGGACCAAATCGATGCTAGCGCTGGAACTTGGTTGTCTACTTGCATTTGTCACATTCACTACCATCGCGATTGTTGTAGGAGATAGCACAGACCTTGCGTTGGGACATATTACGTTGGCTTGCTCCCTGCCAGCGCTAGCAATCATAGCGACTGCCTTTATCCTCTGCGGGGCTTTGTCACAAATTGGATTTATGGATGGTATCACAACAGCATCATACCATGGACTGGAAGGGCTCATATAGGATTTGAATGGCGTGATTACCAAAAGTGCGGGTAGAGACAATTGGATTCTTCCAGCCATTTGGGGGCTGGCATTGAAGTTTCTTTGTCACCCCTTTACTAGCCTTTCTGTCAGCGCTGAAATTTAATGAATACGGATTAGAGAATGGTTATAGGAACTACATAGTGGGGTATCAAGCATTCGGCTTTGTCGCCCTATCGCTATGTGCCACCTTCACATTTGTTGGACTAATATTTCCCAAGATAGTCAAGGTGGAGAAGAGATCAACCGATGTGCCACTCACGCACAACTGACGATAAACTATGGCGACTGGAAGGCTGTGAGCTCAGAGAGACAAGTTGTGCACTCAGGATGCGCCAGGCTTAAGAGCAATAATATTGCATGAATTAAAAACAAATTCTTTTTATGAGATTTTGAATTGGTCACGGCATGTATGTACTAGCCAGAATCACATTACTATGTACATTTGTAACCTTTGTAGATGCGCACACATAACAATAAAGTAGACACAATCGCTTATATGATATAATAAATGCAAATACTGTTTTCGCATTTTCTTGCATGTGTCATTTCACAACATCTGTAATACTATAGTAGTTGTGCTTGGTTAAACAGCTTTGACTTGCTCCTGAGCAACGCCAACATTCACAGCAACAGCCTGCATCTAGGTGTTAGTATATTCAGGATCGGATTCACGGAATATATTTTTCATGAATTAAACTAGAACGTCCTTACACCACAGACTGAGCGCGCACACACCTACGGATTGTACGAGCATGTCCCCGAGAAACGAAAAACAAAACTAGATGAAACATATATATATATATATATATATATATATATACATAAATATATATA